TACAAATGAAATTAATAATGAAGGAAATGAAACAGATTCAGATTATGAATTATTACGAAACTCTATAATTGAACCAAGACTTATCAGAATTCCATTAAGAGGTGTAAGAGGAAGAGGGAAAGGACGAAGAAGAGGATATGGAAGAATAAGAATTAGTAATACAGATAGTGGACGAAGAATAAATGCAGATTCTAGATTTCGAAATCGACGACTTATTGAGAATCCAGTTATTACCACCGGCCTTTTAAAAAAGGTGCAAGCTTCTATTTACTTATATATGAAAGAATATTGGCAAGTTCCTAAACTAGTAGGAATGATAGCAGCAATTATGGATCCTCGATTAAAAAGTCTCAAATTTGTTGGTGACGATACTATTAAATTTCAAACAATAGAAAAATTACGTGACCTTTACTTTGATGAGCAATTAGCAAATGAATTTGATCCTTTAGATCTTACTAGTAATACTAATATTAGGCAGAGCACAACTACATCTTTATCATCAAATTCTATTATTACTGCACTTTTTGACGATGATATTAATGATGATAATGTTGAGGTTAATGAAGTTGATGCATACTTGAGTTTACAAATATCAAAAAAATGTGATCCCCTTAATTGGTGGAAGGAAAATTCAAAAAAATTTCCTTTATTGAGCCAAATTGCACGCAAATACTTGTCAATACCAGCCACTTCAGTACCTAGCGAAAGACTTTTCTCAGATGCTGGATTGCATATTACAGCACGCCGCAACTGTTTAAATCCAGAATTAGTTGAGCAGCTTTTATTTTTAAAACGAAATATAGCTTTATTTCCAATTTTTCCACCAGCTGAATAGTTAATATAATACACAAATTCAAAGGCGATTTGTATAAATTTTATGTGAAAAATTTTCACATTAATTCAATAAAGTTATACTATATACAAAAAAATAATACAAATAATATTTTTACTTCAATTTTTCAAAATTTATTACTTTTTATTTATATATAATGGTACAATGTATAAAATAATATATATAAATGCATATACATTAAGTCGTTAAAAATAACTAAAGATGGGTTCGCAATTGATTCTAAATCTGTAATATTGCAGATTTCGAAGTTGAATTGTGTATAGTAATCTGCATTCCTAATGAAAAAATTTATAAAAAAAAAATGTTAATATATATTCTTAAAATGAAACCAACCAACCGCCAAAAAAAAATTAACAATATTCCTTTTAGACCTTACTTTTGATCAGTTCTAACTTAAGGCATCAAAGATCCGAAAAGTTTCTACAAAGATAAGTTAAAACTAATATTAGTGGTTTTTTTATTAAAAAATTAAAAAATTTATCATTAGAACTTACTTCAAATCCGATTACAACTCAAGCTTTTAAAGATTCCGACTATTCTATAAAGGTAAGTAATAAATGTTAGTTTTTTTTATTAAAAAAAAAACTAAAATTATTCCATTGGAATTTACCTTCACAATCTAAAAATTCCATTGTTTACAGATTCCGGATTAGTCTACAAAGGTTAGTATTAATTTTTTTAAAAAAAATTTAAAAAATAATTCTAACAAAATTTCTCATTAGAACTTACTTTCAATCAATTACAACTTGAGCTTTCAAGAATTCTGATAGTTCTACAAAGATAAGTAGGAATATTAGTTTTTTATTAAAAAAAAAAAATAATAAATTATTTCATTAGAACTTAGCTTTAATCAAAATTCCATTATTTATAGATTCCGGATTGAACCTACAAAAGTAAATTAAAATTTAATTTTATTTTTAAAATTAATGACAAATTTCTTCAATTAGGCCTACCTCCGATTCAAAATTCAAGGATTCAAATCATCCTACAAAGGTAAATTGATGTTAGATTTTTTAAAATTTAAAAAAAAAAATTAACAAATTTTTTTATTAGAGCATACCTACGATAAGGTTTTAGGAATGATAAATGATATGATTGACATCTATCTCTCTTTCTTATCCACGATGTGGTTCTGAGTTTCAGCAACAGCATCATACATCACACCCATTCCTCAGATTCAGATTCCTTGAATCTGGATTCCTAAAGCAAAAAAAATTTAACCAATATCTTCCGAATCATTTTCATCTTCTGTATATCTGGATCTAAGGAGGAATCATCATTGAAAGTGACATTCTAAACTGTGTACTGAAATGTAAGAAGGCGGACTATACATTAAAAAACATGATAGAAAAATATAACCTTATCCTCCGGTGTACATGGCCGTTCCATGCCAGCTTTCTCAACCCGATCTCCTTCTACTGTTATAATTTTCTGAGTCACTCTTACGAAATTTTCAGCAATTTATTGAAGAAATTTTAAATTCCCCCTAGACCTAGACGGATTCCAGTAAGTATCTGTGATTTTTTTTTAAAAATAAAAAATAAAAAAACATTAACTAACAATTTAAACAATTAGGCTTACCTTCGATACCTTCTTTATTATTTTCAACATAAAATTCTCCAGTCATATTTTCTCAGAAGCAGTAAAGACTGGCTTTTCTCCAATTA